GAAATAATTTTGCCACAATTTTAATTACTAGATTTCATATTATGCGTATTGGAAACGACATCAGGAATTTCAGTGGTTTGACAATAAAAATAATTTGAAACTCCTCCCTTACAGTAATGTATATAGATAAAATGGCTTCTTTATTTGTCGTACAAAAAGCCCACGGTGTACAGTCTATGAGACGTTTTCACTTGGAACATGATAGTGCTAAAGCGATTTTTAATTATTGTAATAACGCTAGTTAATATGGCAATTATAGAGATATAACTTCTAAAAAACAATGATATTAACTCTAAATAATAATCATAAAAGGATAATGATAAAGGGGGATAATCCTAAAAACCTGTTATTCCTTATCTTTTATCATTGTGCAAGAGCATCCATCTTATCTTCTTGTTCAACTACCATCAAAGGAAATTTCGGACGAGATATGTTTGGTATTCCGATGTGCAGCATGCATCAATTGCGCAAAGGTAGAAAACAGGGACAATTATTTTATGTGGCAATGAAATTATCAATTATGTATGAAATAAAAGTAATTCATTAAAGTTTATATGAAGAATTAAAATAAAGCATAGGTGTTAGCGATTCAAGTGATAGAATTTGACAATCATTATTTAAAAGAACATTACGCATGTCATATACATGTACTTGGTATTTTCTTATTAACGTTAATAGCATTTGGTAAGATTTTTTATCTCGCGCGTAAAATTTTATAGACAGCATTCATTTTGAATTTTCGATTTTATTGGTTTACCCCTTAAAATCACATGATCAGTAACTTTTTTGCCGAATTATGCGGTATTTTCTTAATTTTTTATGCGGTATTATGCGGTCTTACCAACCAAGCTAAATCTATTTACCGTCACATTAAATATAAAAAATATAAAATTCCAACTTGTCATTTATCTACTTCTCATTTACGCGACGATAACCTTTGCAGCAAAAAAAGTTTATTCTTTCTTTTTGATTATCCCACATCATTTATTCATTTGCTTCATTTAAAAATGATTTTTTGACTTATTCTTAAAAAGAACCCACATTTTAATAACGATATCTGAACAGTAAAAACAACGATATTTATTAAGTACATTTTTCATGGAAACTTGGTTACTGCTTCTTTGCTGCGTAGTCACAATATTTTGCTTTCAAAATATATATGTTCAAGTAAAGCGGAAAAGATTTGTATTAATATGCTACAGCGTCGCAAATTCACTTATTTCTCTTTCATTCGTTATTTCCGGCCTATTTCTTTCCAATGATTCCAGCTTACCTATTAATGTAACAAAACCGTTTTCGTGGTCAGGTTTTATTTGTGCGATTAGTGGGTTCTTATTATCAGCAAATATGATAGCAAATTACACAATTGCTCTCGCGTTGTCTATTGAACTGTTCATAACATTACGAATATACCAACGAGCAGCGCGCACAAGCACAATTTTGAAAAGATTCTACTATTTCTTATGCATAATTTTGCCGTACTTGGCAGTTCTGGCTGGATTAGCCATTTTGATGATGAATGGTGATCAAGTGCTTGACGATTCAGCTGGATCAGGTGTTTGCACTATTGCCAGTCATGGGACAAATAAGATTGCATTATTTATGGTGCTTACTCTACCCGAAAACTTACCGATTTATCCAGCAGCCGTTCTCTCGGGTAAAAATTCAAGGAAAATTTTATTGACGTTTCTTTTTAGTGCATAAATTCTGATAATTTGATCTTTCATTATTTAGCTCTCGCATTAATTCCAGTTAGCAAAAAAGTCTTTGAAACACGTCGATTCACATCGTCTATCGAAACATATATGAAAGAGGAAACAAGTGTCATGACACGAGTAACAAGAGGCGGCCCACCTCCAGCGTCTAATTCAAATAATAAAACGGTAATTCCAAAAAACGTATTAATACGAATGGGGCTCTGGTGTGCTCTTTTGATCATATCAGAGATTCCTTCATGCACCATTCGGCTCATTCACTCTATAGAATATTTGACGACACCAAACGAAAATCCAGAAACCGTAATGCGCTTAATTCATGTTCTTCCTCATGACGATAGTTTTTTCTCGGCAAATGAGATTGAATTAAAACTGCTTTTATCAATTATATTATTCTTAATTTGTTTTGGTACTGGAAATTTTGCGTTCGAGCAATACGGAGAGTTATGGCAAAAAATAATCAAATTTATTTTTCGGAATCCATTTACGATGTTGAGAAAGTATAGAGAAGATTCATCATCTGAAGAACATATTCATTTGGAAATCATCTCACCTGAACAGAGTTCTAATGATAATAATAAAGTTGCAAGACGCAAACCGTTGAGATATAGCTCTTACCGAACTGCTACATTTCGAACCTCGCTGAATACTTCGTCGTCAACACCCGCTCCATATGTTCAAGTGCGATCGAATACACCTCCAGATCTTGGATTTCCACAAAATGGTGATTTTTTAACCATACCGAGTTTGAATGGTGGCGGATTTAATGATGACACTCTTAACAACCAATTCGAACCGACAGTTGAAACGCCATCGCAAATTTCAATACCTGATTCAGCTTTGATTAAATAATGCCGATATATTCGATATATAATCGGACTATTTACCTTAACATTCATTTTTTTTATAATACTAAAACCATATTATCAGCACACCACATTCGCATATTGTAAATATTATCCTCCTTTTTTAAAATAACATTCATACATATCTCATAAACAACACGATAGAGAAAAAGCAAGAAACACGAAAAAATTTTCTAAGCTTCTTTTTTTGTAAATTTTTCGGCTTTGGTTGATGAGTGTTTTTCGATCAACTATACCATTGCCATATTTAGACAACATTTTTTTCAATAAGGTAATTTAATTAGGAAAAATGATATTCAGGAACGTTACGAAGAAAACCTTGATTTCATCTTATCGTTATCAATTATGAAAATACATGTACATGTACTGGTTTTTTTGCAATTCTTGGCAAACCATTTGGTCTATCAAAATCGTAAATATAACGACAGGATAATTGTTCCTCTTTTTGTTTTCCTTACAAAGCATATGAATATACTGTACCGATATGATATCATAGGGAAATTTTGAAAATACCAGTGTAATTAATTATTTTTTTTGACATCATCTTATTTTTTTCAAGGAATGAAGCTCTAATTGGTTTTTCTTGATCATTAATAATTTATACATGTATTTTTTATAATTGATGGCTTGCATGTTTAATAAGATGTACCTGCAGTTCGATAACTTGATGATAATCAAGCTTTCTTTGTGTAGTATTATGATGCATGTGTTTGCATAAAATTTTGTTCCCATGCCTTTTGATGTGAAGGAATTCTTTATCGTTGTCTGTAAAGACACAAATTATGTATCGGTATGCAAATTATTAAACATTAAAAAACTATTATTACGATAAACTTTACACACACGCCTCTTGCTGACGATGCACAATTGGTCTTAAAAGTCCCGTTCATTTATATCTTGGGGATGATGAATCATTCGTTTCTCAAGCAATCACTCTTATTGAGCAGGAAATCCCGCTTATGAATAAGGCTTTAATACAATGTATTGTGTAAGTGAAATACAGTAATAATTTATTATATTCAATTCAGTCCAATGGGAGATTTTATTTTTTGTTGTTGAACCATCGATATACATGTACATTTAATTACACTTCCTTTGATCCGATCATCAGCCAGCAGCCAATGGGAATACATCTACTGTACATGTGTACGGTTTATTTCTTTTATGTCTAACAAAATTGATAATCTTTATTTCTTTTGTGTTTAACAAAATTGATAGCTTTATTTCTTTTGTGCTGAACTAAATCGAAAGTTTTATTTCTTTTGCCATAAAAAATTGATACGTATTCTTTGATTGATTGTGGCTCATGTGTTTATTTGTAATAAACAATTAAATTGTATTAGTCTTTTGAAGTTATACTTTTTACTGTACCACAAAAGAAATACAATTATTAACAGCTATGAATTTCATTAGATACGAATAATTTTATTGTTATCTTTCTTCAAACCACGCATTGCCCGTCTCAGCCCTTTGATAGTTATCCTATGTGTACAGTTTTTTTATTACACAACTACCTAAATTGCAAAACATAATTTAATACAGATCTCGTGGGTCATTAAAGCACAAGGTGTGAAATTTTAACAAAAAGATTTTCCGTACTATTTAAATAAAAGAATATGGGAAATTTAATGTAATAAGAAAATAAAAAAATAAATTTAATATGTTTGATGCAACCTGTGAATTTTTGTAAGAATAAGTTTAATTATTATTATGAAACACGAAGTAAGGTGATAATGTGCGAAATATGAAATTTGTAAATTTTTACGATAATCAAAACCTTGGGATCACAAAGCAAGAGTTTTAGCATAAAGTTCTTTATTATTGGGGAAATTTATGGAGTAAAACGGTATTAATGTTGGTAAGAATATTTGTATGAATTTCATGGGATTCTGTTCAAGTGCTCGAATAGGAGATCCACTAAAGCCAGGTAGTATCACGTGGTAAACTACGAAAGACCAAGTGTAACATCAATCCGATTGTAAACGCAAAAAATTCAAAAGAGTAAAATCGTAGACAGCTTAGAATTTTACTATGATAACTGGTATTTATCATCAAATAAAAATGCTTAACGTCTTTTATCATGAAATTTCTATTGATTTGATAGTACTACCTTTTCTCTCGAGTAGGAATACTGTTACATTTATCCGGTCTATTGGATTTCAAAGATGGACAGACTTGTGGAAGAGTTGAACTACGCATTATTCATTCTATGGTGTTCTAAGGTGTTGTGCCAGTAATTATTCTTGATCAAGATATAAATAATGCTGAACTATCCAAAACACTTGATAAAGAGATTAGCAAGAAAACTATTTGCAAAAAGAAAAGTAAAATTGCTTTATCTGTACTCACTATTATAGCTGAACCTTATGATATTCTAGAAGATTTGGTTCAAAAAAAAGCTAATATTACAGTCACCTAACTTATTCAGCTCTTATCTTCTCAAAGAACTTAGTTATCAAAAGAAATGTATCAAGCTATAATACTTAAACCAAAAAGGAAAAGAAGCATAATACTTGAACAAAAACTCAAAACTACATCTGCTTGATATGAAGCCAAAATTAGAAAGAATATTATTGATTTAACTATTGATATCAGTGTCTTTAGATGTATTGCTATATACAACTTTATTAAAGATATGTGATTAAAAATATAATATAGTTCAAATATATCTATATCTAATATAAATAAAATATCTAACAATCTCTTGAAGTTATTATAATCTACTTTTGAATATTAATGAAATTGTAATTCTAATTGAAGTAGATATTACTGAAGTCAAATATATTTGGTAATTGTAGAAATGGACTTTTTGAATAAAATTAAAGCTAATATTGATATCAAAAAAGAACTTCTCACATTTGAATATAATGATCAGAAAGGAAAGGTGCCAATAAAATTTATCTATAATGATAGAGAAGATCTTATATTTAATAAAACAAGCTCTGAAAAAGATGAATTAGAAGAAGATTCTGAAAGTGAATTTAAAAAATAATATTTAGAAAAGAAAATCTTTCTTATATAACAATATGATGATTAAAATATTACAACTTCTAGAAAATAAGAAATCCAAGCTAATGATAGTATTAAAATTATCATCAAAAAAGTTTGAACTTCTATTGAAACTCCTAATTGAAATTTAAGAGATATTATTTTGAAGAGATATCTTTTTAAATTATTTGAAGTATACAAAGAATTCATGAAGTACAAGCCTACCAAGAAGAAATTAAAATTAGATAAAAGAAATATACTTAAAAAGATTATAAATGACTTGATAAAAAATTCTCACAAAAATATAACTGAAATAATTGATAGTCATTTAATTGGCAAGAATCCAATAGTTAATATTAATATTATAGAAATCTTTTTATATCTAATTATCAATATTACTAATACTATAATAATTATACTAATTAAATAATTATCAAAGTTTATAAACTATTCTATACTGAATTCAAAATAAATAAAGATTGAACTAATAAAGTTAAACAAGAACTCTTTATTAATAATAAAATAAAAAGAAGTTTTAATTTCTATCAATCTGCTTCATAATAAATTCATCTCAATTCTCAAATTAAAAGATATAAAGAATATGAAAAATATATAGATAGATATTATACTAGAACTTATTTCAAGATAAATAGAGAAAAATTCACTACTTGTGATAATTATATTAAAGAAAAATAATTAAATCTTCCTGCTTGCTCATAATATAATAAATATAATGAATTCAGAAATATATTTATTCTTATTTTAAATTAATCTTCTCAACTCAAATTGAATGAGATACAAGAAAAATTCAATATTATTTATCAGATACTTAATGAACTTTCACAATAATTTAA